TAATAACCAAAAACACAACATATAGTTCAAAGATTTATAATTCAAACTTCTATTATAAATCCAAGTACAACATAAAATCCATAACATTGTCAAATTAGCCTCATACTAAACTTTAAATCCAAAATACATTATATGCAAACTAAGGGTTGCTAGCACCAGATGATCCTCTTGCATCCAAAGGTGTATTAGGAACACTTGAAGCATCGTTTGGCTGAAATAAGAAAAGAAAAATCACTCAGTCAGGAAAAATATATATCAAAAATATTATATGATAATGACAATTCCAAACACCCATGACTATATTAGCCAAGGACCAAAACAGACCAACCAATTAATGTAACAAACAACATAACCCATAGTTAAAACTAGAACTACAAACCAACAACTCCATGAAGCCAAAACCATAATAGCAACACAAAACCAGAGATGTGTAGCAGCCAACTAGTTCCCAACCCAATAACCAAGGACTGAGAGTAGTCCATTCAGACTCTGAACAACCAAAACTAGAACTAAACCAACAAAACATCCAGCCAAACCAAAAAATGCAATAGAAATCATATTGCAAACCATGCAGACAAATATTATAAATCAACAAAGCAACCAACCACACCAGAAATTGCAGTAGAAATCATGTAACAAACCATGCAGCCAAAGACCATGAACCAAGAAAACAACCATTCTAACCAGAAACTATAGTAGAATCATGATATAAACCTTGCAACTAAAGAGTATGAACCAACAAAATAGCCACCAATACCAAAAATTGCAGCAGAATCATGCTACAAACCATGTAGATAAAGATACCACACATATTATATAATAATGTATGCACATTAATTACTTACATGTGCTTCAGGAGTGAAATAACTAGCTGCAGCAGAATCATGCTACAAACCATGTAGATAAAGATACCACACATATTATATAATAATGTATGCACATTAATTACTTACATGTGCTTCAGGAGTGAAATAACTAGCTAATTCTTCAGGGATCGTTCCTTCCTTCATTATCATGTAGGCCTTAAAAGCTGATTCTAAATTGTTGTATTTCTCTTGCCATTGGTTTAAAGATGGAATGGCAACACCAGATGAGGAAGAGCTCAAGCTAGAAACACGAAGTCTTGTATTCCTAAATGTATTAGAAGGAACAGCACCCAATCCCATGCATCGTACTCTCCCGGAGTGCTCTGGCCCTAGCACTCTACCAACAACATCTAGAGGAGAAACTTCAGATTCATCAACTATGCTTTGAGTCAAACCTACTTCAATTTGTTCCTACAAACATGTAATAAAATCAAATATAAAAAAGTTTTAAGATTAAACACAATCCTTGAAATCAATGTTTCTAAAGAAAAATTTACCACTATAGTCTTTGCTGCATCATTTACAAATGATCCATCTTTCCTTTTGTGAGTTTCAATATATAATTGTCCACGACTTGGTACCTTCCCTATTTCTAGCAACTAAGATAAATAAAGAGTGAGTAAATATTGAAAAAAAATTAATTAGTAAAGTTAACATTTAGTGTCATTACCAACTCATTTCTTTTTCTAGGATTAGCTTTGGAGCCACCAGTGTGTGGAATAACTTGCTTGCTTCGAATAATTGATTGGATTAAACTTGTGTAATTTTATTGGGGATAATTGATTGGATTAAACTTGTGTAATTTTTTTCTTTCATTTAAAAAAAATGAAAAGATATTGAACCACAATATATATATATATATATATATATATATATATAACAATCATACTAAAAATCCAAGTAGATTCTAATTAACAAAATTAGCAAGTACTAATAAACGCATATAAATACAAAAAAATATAAACACATATATTTATATAGACATGATACAATAAATATAACACACAAATATTCCACCAAGAGCAAGAGATTATACAGACATTATACAGACGTGAAGAACATTATAAGTATTAAAATAGTTTTTAAAAAACTGACTCATAGGAAAACTAAAATTATAAGTATAAGTGCAACGATTATACCCCCACCTTTTTATTTTCTTTCTTTCTTTTGTAGTTTTCCTTTTAAGTTGTGAAGAAGAATCTGATAGTAAATTATATCTATGAAAGTGGTGATGGCGGGAATGAATGGATGGGTACTTGGAGGCCATACTTTCAACTGGGGCCTCAAACATTGAAGAGCAAAAGCCAGCACTTGTGACTCTAAGAGATGGGGGGCATTTCAATCCCACAAAGTACTTTGTGGAAGAGGTGGTGACAAGTGTTGATGAGTCTGATTTGTACCGCACGTGGATCAAGGTGGTTGCCACCAGGAACACCAGGGAGAGAAGTTCAAGGTTGGAGAACATGTGCTGGCGCATTTGGAACCTTGCCCGCAAGAAGAAACAGGTTCTTCTTCCACTCTCTTCATGTTTGGAATAGGTAGTTTGATCATAGAATAAATTGATGTGACATGTAAACTACATGAATTGTAAGGTTGAATGATATGGTTTCAAAGAAGCATGCAGGAATCTTATTGTAAATCTAATGGTGTTTTCTTTTTGAGATTCAACTTCAATGGCATGATTGAATTAATACCGATATCAAATCAAATACATGGTATGAGTATGCATAGGAAAAAGTTTTTGTGTTTCTCTTGACTGATATTTTGATCTTCTGAAAGGTTTCTTCTAATTTCTCTTCGTGATTCTTTTTATTTAGTTATTTTCTTGAAGGGGGCTTTGATATGATTGAAGTTAGGATAACTTGTTATTCTCAGTTACAACAAAGATTTTTCAAGTAATATCAATTGAAAGTAGAGATTCTATTTTAGTCACATGTATATATGTGTGTATACACTGTACATTAAGTTAACATTGCCCATTTGTTTGGAGATTCAATTCAACTTATTTATCAAGTAGAATAATGAAAGCAAGTGACCAAAAGAGGGAAACAAATTAAGAGAGAAAAATTCCCAATGATTGACATGAGAATTTTACCATGGTCCATCATGTCCCTCTCATCAATTTCAGGAAAGCGAAACGGTTTAAAAGGAGAAATAAGTGTTGGAGAAGAGATACTCTCTCTATTCTTTCTTTATTCCTCCGCCACACTCAAGTGAAAGGACTCATTCAACCCCTTCTCCAATAGCATATTGTTTCTTCTTGCATGTGAGTGGTCACATCTGTTCCTTCGTAAAGAGTTAAAAATCTTAATGTTTTGAGTGGTGGAAGGAAGTGGATCAGAATCTGGTTTCTTGGTCTTTTTCAATTTTGGCAGATTGTGGCTTATTTTTTCCTTTCTCTCCTTACTATCTCCTATCTCCTATCTTGATAAGGATCCCACCGTGGACAATGATCATTCCTACCTATACTTGCATCACCAATCTAACAGGAACCAGCAGTAAGGTATTCATTTTTTTTTCCTTCATCCAATTGTAGAAATACATGTCTAAACTATTTAAAGCTCATATGAAAGTGGGGTACTATGATAGAAGAAAACACAGCATATGCTGATGTTAATGCTTTTACTATGATGCAACATTCAAGGGTTGAATCAACACATGTGAAATTGTTTTAACTTAAATGTAAATTTTGAGTTTAAATCTTTGATATATAATTGTATTAAATATTCTAAAAAAACCTTTACTGTCAATACTGATCTTATTCAACTAGGAGGTTTATTTCTAGATAACCACAAACAAATCACTAATACCAACATAACCAAATGAAATAAGAAAAGATCATAATGTCATTTTTCTCATGTACTTAAGAAACTTTAATTTTAAATGTTGTAAACTAAACTAGAAAGTAGGCACCATAATAAAAGAATCTAACAGATAACGTGGAAGTTGCGCAAATTCACCTCTTTCAACATAGAAATAATTGCATTAAGATTGGTCCCCTTTGCTAATGACCTTGTAGGACTCTAAGAGATGGGGGGCATTTCAATCCCACAAAGTACTTTGTGGAAGAGGTGGTGACAAGTGTTGATGAGTCTGATTTGTACCGCACGTGGATCAAGGTGGTTGCCACCAGGAACACCAGGGAGAGAAGTTCAAGGTTGGAGAACATGTGCTGGCGCATTTGGCACCTTGCCCGCAAGAAGAAACAGGTTCTTCTTCCACCCTCTTCATGTTTGGAATAGGTAGTTTGATCATAGAATGAATTGATGTGACATGTAAACTACATGAATTGTAAGGTTGAAATGATATGGTTTCAAAGAAGCTTCATGCAGGAATCCAATTGTAAATCTAATGGTGTTTTCTTTTTGAGATTCAACTTCAATGGCATGATTGAATTAATACCGATATCAAACCAAATACATGGCATGAGTGTGCATAGGAAAAAGTGTTTGTGTTTCTCTTGACTGATATTTTGATCTTCTGAAAGGGTTCTTCTAATTTCTCTTCGTGATTCTTTTTATTTAGTTATTTTCTTGAAGGGGGCTTTGATATGATTGAAGTTAGGATAACTTGTTATTCTCAGTTACAACAAAGATTTTTCAAGTAATATCAATTGAAAGTAGAGATTCTATTTTAGTCACATGTATATATGTGTGTATACACTGTACATTAAGTTAACATTGCCCATTTGTTTGGAGATTCAATTCAACTTATTTATCTTTAGTTATGCCATATTTGTGAACAATTAGCACTAGTTATTGTTTTCTGTTTTCCAGCTAAAGTTAGAGAGGGGAATTTTCTTGCCAGCATAGTATAAACTGTTTCTTTTAAGTGTTCAATCAATTCACTATGTTTACTCCTTCACCTAACAAACATGGGGAACTATCATTTTACTATGGATGCACGATCATAATAGGCAACAATGTGTGGTTTGTGTAGTTCGAATGGGAGGAAGTCCAGAGGGCAGCACACCGAAGATGGGAGAGAGAACAAGGACACAGAGAAGCAACAGAGGAAATGTCTGAAGACTTGTCAGAAGGAGAGAAAGGTGATAGTGTTGGGGAGATTGCGCAAAGTGAGACCCCAAAGAAAAAATTTCAGCGTCAGATTTCTAACTTAGAAGTATGGTCTGATGACAAGAAGGAAAAGAGGCTATATGTTGTCCTCATAAGGTATTGTATCCACACTCCTAGAGGTGCTTTGTATTGACATTTGTGATTATAAATTGTCTAGACAAATTTCTGAGGTTGTGTCAATGTGTCAAGGAATACTCATTGATCATAGTGGCAAACAGATTCAAATTTATTCCCTTTATCTGTGATCAACAAAAATAGTTTGTGACTCTAAGAGATGGGGGGCATTTCAATCCCACAAAGTACTTTGTGGAAGAGGTGGTGACAAGTGTTGATGAGTCTGATTTGTACCGCACGTGGATCAAGGTGGTTGCCACCAGGAACACCAGGGAGAGAAGTTCAAGGTTGGAGAACATGTGCTGGCGCATTTGGAACCTTGCCCGCAAGAAGAAACAGGTTCTTCTTCCACTCTCTTCATGTTTGGAAAGGTAGGCATCAAAAAACCGAATCTCAGGTATTAACTTCATCATTGAAATGATAAGAAAATAAAATATATAAAAAAAATATTCAAAAGTTCCTCATCGCTTATATGAGATTTTGTTATTGTGGTGGTGTGTGATAGGGAACCGAAAAGACAAATCCATCACAGGTTCAAATCTAAATGGAAAAAGCAATCACGTTGAATCATTTGAGAAAAGGGTTTTCGTTTACCTTTTGAAAGACAGCAGTGCATCATGATTATATCTACGTTGAATCACGTTGAATCATCTGAGAAAAGGGTTCTTCACACGGATGCCACTCAAACGCCGAACTTCGTTTAGGGTTTTCTATTTCTCTTTCTTCACACTGATGCCAGCATGATACGAATTCTGATTTTTTGTAAGAGGGAGGCGCGGGTAGTTTAAGGGGGAAAATATTTTATTTTAGAGAAAAATAGATTTAAGCGGGAAAATATTATTTAATTAGAAGAGGTTTTAAACCTCCGTAAATTAAATAAAAAAATTGCAGTTTTTTCACCTAATTTAATAACTAGAGGAAGTTTTTAAAACCTCTGCAAAATAACCTCTATTATTTAACATTTTTTTTGTAGTGAGTGCTCAACTTACATGAAGGAAGGGAAGATCACTCTAAGATTTTTTAAAGTTATCTTCAGATGATTGTTAGTCTCATTTATACTTATTTTTAGATAGGAATTATTGAACAATTCCACTCACTTCATGCACTCTTGCAATATAATTGTTCTCTTTTGATTAATTTTTGTGCAGATATAACTAACCCAAAAATCATCTGACAATACCCTGATACACCTCATTTTTTTGTGCAGGTATTGAGTTGAAGAGTTGAGGTTGAAGACCCGTTGGATTGAAAATTCAAAGAGCTAAGGAGCAGGAGAAGAAATATCACGCCGGGCACAAGACTACCCACGCTGGGCTTGTGAAATACAGAGAGCATCACACTCTACACTTCAACATTGCGCCAGGCGCAAGGGCATCCGCGCGGGACGTGCTTCAAGAAAAAGAGCATTCAAACTCTCTAGAAGACATTGCATTGGGCACAGGAGTATCCACGCCGGGCGTGACTCGAGACAAAGCATAATTACCTCTCTGGAAGACTCTACACCGGGCGTGAAGTATAATGCGCCGGGCGTGTAAACCCTATCCTGGCTCACCCAGCTCGTATTTGATGAAAACTTCAAGGGTTTCTTCCTCATTCACACATTTGACGACTTCTAGGAGTTGTGGAAGGGATTCCCGATGATTGGAACCGTTTGTGTATGGGTCTTTCCTTCGGTTCTTCCATCTCTATTTTTGTTTTACCCTCATTATTTTGAGCAGTTCTACCCATTATTTTGTGGGGTTAGATGTAACCAACTTAACTCTTATGTAACATTCACATTATCAATGATATATATATATATATATTATGTTGTTTCATTCATTGTTGTGTTAGGTTTCTATTCTTAATGCTTGCTTTGGATTGATTTTCCTTTGCTTGATATAGAGTCCATTGGGTATTGGAAAATAGCCTTTGAAACTAGCTCTGAAACAAAATACCAAGTGGGAAATGTATCTAGGAATGGAGTTTGGCCCATTAGTAGTCTTAAACCCTAACCCATAATGCAGGTGTATGTATTGGATACTCAAGGAATTGATATTCACTATATGCAACTAGGCTCTTGCTCTAAGGGATTTGGTTTGAGTAAACTTATGGGGTTGACTAGGCAATGAATGTAATAAGAGAACAATGATTCATTAGAGTGAAGTTCGGTGATATCTGACCCTACAATCTTACAAATTCACAATACCATTTTCTATCCCTTCCACACACACACAAATAGTTTATAGTTTTAAAATTCCAACAAGTCATAACCTTTACTTCAATTGCATGACAGTCTATGAAAAATTGGAATTATTCTTTAGTCACAAATAGTCATTAAATGCTTGTTTTACCTAACTAATCTCTGTGGATACGATTTAAATTTACTACTTGTACGGCCGGTATACTTGCCGTGTTTGAGTTTGTTGTTAGAATTAAAATAATTTATAACAAGAACAAAAGTTAATTTCAATGGAAATCTCAACGATGATTTTTTTTGAACAACAAATAAAGTAAAATATATATAGTATTGGTACAAGGGGTACCATAACCCATGTACAAGATTTTGTGGCTATTAGGAATAATATAATCTACCCTTTGCAAGTTCCCACATCAAATTAACCATATCCACATTACTCTAGGTAATTTACTAACCTTTGACCCTAAGTATATAACATAGTTGGAACACGTCAGGCAAACCACAGTAAGTATTTTCTAGCAAGCTCATTATAGTCTTGCCACAACATGCTTCGTAGCAGGAGGTTGTGGTCTGCGTGGCACTACGTGTGGAAGCCCCTGTTGACTCATGGCATTACCATATGTCATTTCACCTATGTATTTATATAATGGATTGCATAACTTTCAAACACAGCCCCATACCTTCATCCTAATGAATGGCATGACAGCTACCATTATCCCTCAACATTAACACTGAACGTTGGGTCCCTCCATCAGTTACCCAGGATGCCCCTAAAACCATCACCAGCTCCCAGTCTACCCGACATACATTGCTACAAATTATACCAAGTGCCACCATTCCTAATCATCACCATCCGACCAGGCCTGTTACTCGTAGGCTCTTGACCCGAGTAAGCAGAGGCCTATATTTAGCTGCCATTGAGTGAAGGAATAAGAAAATGAGTTGTTAAAAGCTGATAGCCAAGACCATGAGAACATTAGCACCTGTTGTCCCAACTTATGACCATCGAATTGACCTTGTTCAAAGACACACTGATTTCTCATTTTCCATGTATACCAGCACATTGCAGCCCACCATACCCACCATCTTTCTGTTTGTTCTTTAGAGGATATTATGGAGGGTGGAGCCAAGAAATTGGTAAATGCGACGTGGCACAGGGGTGACGGGCTCTGCAGTAGCTGCAGCCACTGTTTCCACACTCTATTGACATAGCAACACGAGAATATGACATGGTGAATTGTTTCTAGTGCGTAACGTTGTTGATCTGCTTGTAATGCAACATTCCTGTTCAATAATTGCTCCTTTGTGGGCAAAGTGTTCAAGAACATTCTCCATATGAAGATTTTAACTTTTGGTGGGATTTTGATGTTCCACACGACAGATGTGAACCTTATTTGTTGGGTTCCTAGTACTTGTGTTAGTAGAGCTATATATGCAGACCTTACAATGAATACCCCAATCCCGTCAAGCATCCACTCCCATCAATCTGTCCTATCTTCCCTCAGAATTGCAACTTCTAAGATTTCCCTTAGTTCCTTGACATAATCTAATTCCCAAGCGAACCATGATCTACGCCAATCTAATCTCCATTGCCACCTCCTAGAGCTCCATTCCCCCATGCCAGCAACCAAACTATATTATTGGGTCGAGACCGAGAAAATTCTATTAAATCTCACTGCAAGTGGCTCATGGGTTGCCCACGGGTCAAACCAAAAGCTAGTTGTTTTTCCATTCCCAATTTTCCAAGCAACTGCATCCATAAACCAATTATTACCCTCTCCCCACCTGATGCCAACAATATATCATGCCATCACAACGACATTCTATTATCCAATGAGCAATCCTCAATAACAGCCCTTAAGCCATACTTGGATATCATAATTCTTCCCCACAAGGAATTTGGTTCATGGTATAGTTTCCATCTCCATTTCGCAAGCAAAGCATCATTAAACAAATCCAATCTTTTAATTCCCAATCCTCCCTCCTCCTTGGGCATGGTAACTTTGTTCCACAAGACCCACGTCATTTTTGACTCCTCTCTCTTGGCCCCCCACAAGAAATTCCTCTACAACTTGGTAAGTTGCTTAATCACCAGTTTTGGCATCCTGTAAAATGACATGAAGTACAACGGTAGAGATGTGAGGACATAATTAATCAAAGATACTCTTCCCGCGATGGATAAATAACTAGCTCTCCAAGTTGATAGCTTCTTTGAAAACTTTCTAATAACAGGCTGCCAAGTAGTACACCTTCTAGGATTTGCCCCTATTGGAATACCCAGGTACTGAAATGGTATGGATGACAATTTATAGTGTAACTGTTTAGCATATGATATTAGTACCACCCTATTCACCCCAACCCCCTAGGCTGCTCTTTGCGAAGTTAACTTTTAATCCACTAACTAGTTCAAAGCATCGAAGAATGACTTTCATAGTTTTAACATTTTCCAGATTAGCTTTACCTATGAATATGGTATCATCAGCATATTGTAGCACATCCACTGGTACCATACGTGAACCTACCACGACTCCAAAGAATAGATTTTTCTGTGTTGCCTCCCTAATCAGCCCTATTAGCCCTTCTACTACTAAGACGAACAATATCGATGCTAGGGGTCTCTTTTTCTAATCCTTTTTTTCATTTGGAACTCCTTGGTTGGGCTTCCATTAACTAATACTGACATGGATGACGAAGACAAGCATTCGTTGATCCACCTAATACATCGATCATCAAACTTGAATCTTTGAAGCATGTACAATAGGAAAGACCATGACACCGAGTCATACGCCAACTCAAAATCAACTTTAAAGAATATGCATGGCTTCCTCATCCGCTTCACCTCATCCAAAGTCTCATTCAATATGACAGAACTTTGTAACAACCCCCTACCTTCCATGAAAGCCATTTGTCTCTCATCCACAAGCGAAGATAGTACCACCTTCAATCTCCTAACAAGAGTTTTGCCCAATATTTTATACATGCACCCAACCAAAGATATTGGGCGATACTCATTCAGTTTTACAAGATTATCAACTTTTGAAAGTAGTGATATGAATGAGGAGTTTGTGCCTTTAAGAAGCTTTGCATTATCATAAAATTGTTGTACAAAGGGCATAATGTCATTTTTCAGTAGATCCCAAAAGTCTTTTATAAACTTGAAATTAATCACATTCGGTCCTGGACATTTATCACTATCACAGTCCCACACGGCAGCCCTTATTTCATCCTCATCAAATCTTCTAGAAAACTTTTACCTCTGCTCGTGATTCAATTGTTGAAAGCATACTCCATCAAGCCTAGGCCTCATTCCATGTTCTTCTGAAAACCTTTCTTCGAAGAACGACTTAATATGCTCTTTGTTGATCATTGGCTCTTCTACCCAAAGATTATTTAATACTAGGTCATTCAATGAATTCCTCTTGCGGTTCGCATTGACAACATAGTGAAAGAACTTTGTATTTAAGTCTCCCACTTGAAGCCACCGAACTCGGGACTTTTGAGCTAGTTGTGACTCCTTTCTAATAGCAATTTCCCAAAATGATTGTTGAAGTTGCAGTTTACGATCCCTCTCGGTCCCTAGTAGCTCCCTACTTTCCTCAATTCGATCAAGCATATACAACTCATCCATCACCCGTTGTGCTGAGTTTGTCGACCCAGTTGATGACTGACTCGCCCAAGCCTTCACTTTACACTTTAGGTGTTGTAGTTTTTGTTTTAGAATGAAAGTATCCCATCCATGCACCTTTAGGTCAGACCACTCTTTAATCACCATTTTTCTAAATTCCCCACACTGTAGCCATGAATTAAATATTCTGAATGTGATAGACTATGGCCAAGGCCAAGGAATCCAAGAGGTGATATCTTAAAAGAACCAAGAGGAATGGGATGATCTTAAAGACCTTTTCATATATTTTGTACATATTTCCTTTGTATAGGTCTAATTTTGCCTTTGTATTTGTGAGACACTTTACTTGCTTTTAATTAGTGATTGTATATTGATTTTAGGGTGGGTTACTTGGAGAGTTTAACTCCATTTAACCTCCTTTGTTGATACATTCATTTTATATTTTTTCAGTAGGGAAAAAGGGGTGGCATTTAGCAATGCTTGAGGGTGTGACTAGTAATTGGGCCAGAACTGGGCCTAGGCAAAATTTTGCATATTAGACTCATTTTGCTCCTAATTTTTCATAGATTTGATTTAGCTAGGTCTCATCATCATATGATGAACCTAACTAAACCAAATCAAAGATTTTCGAAATAAATCATGGAGCATTTTGGAGCCTTGACCGCCTAGCTTGTGTCTTAGTTCTTGGCCAAAATTCACTAGTTCTTTCTTCAAGTTTTGAAGCTTGCCTTCCAAGTTTCTAAACCTTGGTAGGTTAGGCTGACCTTACCATGGTTCTTAAGTGAACCATGGTCAAGGTTAGCTTCTCCTACAAGTTTTATAAACCATGGAAGGTTAGCTACACCTTACCATGGTTCCTAGTGAACCATGGTTAAGGTTAGCTTATCCTAGAAGCTACCTCTCCCTATATATTTGTAAATCCCTCTCTTGTAATCACTTTTGAATATTTGAGAAATAAAACTTCAGATTTCTCTACCAAAAGTCTCTCCTAAAACCGAAGAGAACTTTCTCTCTAAGGTTCTCACTAAAAGTTTTCAACCTTTGCATTGGTTCCTCAAGCTTCCTTCACAAGCTAGGAAGTAATCGAGCCAATTCCATTGCTTCTCCATCATTGGAGAATCCTCCAAGGTGATTCCGCCACCTCAAAGGAGTTCTACCTCAAGAGTTCACGGTCCTAAGCATGGAGAACTTGGAAGAACAACAATCTTCTCCAAGTAGTTCCATCATTTTTGGTATCTAGAGCCTAGTGCTCTTAAGGTTTTATGTTCTAACTTTTTCTAAGTGAATCCGTGTTGTATCTTCCTTCTCCTATGTCTAAATATGTGTTTGCTGCATGGATCTAAATTTTCTAAATTTTTTTTGATAGATCCTATATGTCACATAAGAAGTAATTGATTCATGTTTTTGCTTGTTCTCTCTTGGTGGAAAGCCTCTTGAAAACACCTAGAAATAACCAAAGTCAAGGTTGCTTCTAAAAGAAGAGTGATACACTTGTGAGGGCTGCATGCTTGGTGGCTGGAATTGGAAGAGAAGGAGTAACAAAATTTTGAAAATTTTTGTGAACTTTAGAGACCAATTTTAGTGACGGAAATTTTTGTTACTAAACCTATTTTTCCTTACAAAATCCGTCTTTAAAATTTGTCTCTAATTAGTGGCTAATTTGTTTTCTTTGAAATTAAGTGCAGCCACTAATTTCATTTGATTGTGAATTTACATTTTATTTGGTGTGAATTTACATTTCATTTGGAGTGTGAATTTTCATTTCATTTGAAGTAAATTTGCATTTCAATTTTTCTTGTAATCTTTAAATTTTCCAATTTTTGTAGAAGGCCTTTATTAAGGAGTGTCTTGGAGTGCCTTTGGTGTATCTCCATCTCTCCTTAAGTGTTCTAATAGTAATTTCGTTTAGTACTTGTGAGAGGGTCCTTGAAGGTCTTTGGTGCCTTTCAAGCTCTCACATAGGTTTAATTGCTTTCCACGCCTAGTTTATGTTTTCTTGTCTTTAAGTTTTCAAGCAATTTAAGTTTTCAAGCAATTTATGATTTCTTGCCATTTATGATTTCAAGTCTTGATAATTGTACACAATAGGCACCTGATTGTTATTTTCCTTTTTGAAAAATATCTTTGTGAAAATTGCTTTGTGCAAGGCAAACGTATAAGGGGGTTTAGAGATTTTTACTTGAAGAGGCTTGGTTATTAAGTGGCTCTTTAGTAGCTCACCTCCCTCCAAAGTTCAATTTGTACTCTTAGACCTCCAAGTGTCAAGTCTAAGCACTTCCCAAAAATCTTATTTTCTTAAAAAAATATTTTTGTGTGGAAAATATTTTTGTGTTAAAATGTCTCAAAATTCCTCCAATAGTGAAAGTGATGGCTCTCCAAAAAGTCTTTCATACATTACAAAAGAGCTCAAATCACTTAAACTATGGAAAAAGCAAGAGTCTCTTCAAAGAGAAAGAGATAAAATTGAAAGAGAAGGACAACTTGCTTACCTTGAGGAAGAATTGAGAATTTTAAGACAAGAAGAAGAAAAGTTGAAAGAAGATATGAAGAAACAGAAAAAAAAGTAGGAGCTCACATTCTCACTATACATCCCCTAGTGAAAGCATGAATCAAGGGGATCACTACCAACCTCCACCTAGAAGGTCCACAAGACCTAGGGAAGTCAAAGTTGACCTCCCACAATTTTTTGGAAAGGATGATGTGGAGTCATACTTATATTGGGAAATGAAAGTAGAGAAACTCTTTGCTTGCCATAAGGTAAGTGAAGAGAGAAAAGTCTCTCTGGCCACCCTTAGCTTCCAAGGGCATGCCATGTATTGGTGGACGACTAATAGCATTTATGCACTGCTTGAATAAGATACATCATTGTCGATACTAACCTTCATCACGAAAATAAGGAAGGATCATGGTTACACCACCATGTGTAGAAAAGCGCAGTTGGCAAAACAATGGCTATCAAAAGGTTGTATGAGATTTAGGAAGAGTCATACAATAGGCTTTGTATATTGGCTAAAGCCCTCAAAATTTTTATTTCCATAACAATTTTTTAACATCAAACGTTATCAATGCATGATAAAGTTGAACAAATCATTTTAAACAAAGACAAAACCCATCATCTATTTTGGACATTGTTCTTTTCAAAGAAATTTGACAACTTGTATTGTGGCTTAGCTGTATACTTCAATAAAAACAGGGCCCCACTAAGCTCAAGAATCTGAATAGTGAGAAATTATAAGGCCTGCATCATTGAATGAATATAGATTGTTCAAATTTCTGTTCAAAAGCCAAAACACATATCTGCTTCTACCAGCCAAAATAACAACTTCACTTGTGACTAAAATCACCAATCATTATAATTATCATCCCCTAGACACAGTTCTAAAACACACACTGCACATTCCATTCCAGAATACAATGCCAGAGGTTTACACTGTGAAGGTTGAGGAGGAAAGGCCTGCAACTGATGATGGAAAGCCATCTGTATGACCTGTCTATATGAGCATTTATGCCAAAGATGGTCTCTTGGAGTTGCCTTTTGATTATCAGTCTCCTTGGGATTTCTTCAGGTTAATATATATAATTTTGTTTACTTTTTCATACAGATTTCACATTGGCCACTGATACTACCAAAACATAGTATATAATTAGAGAGCAAAGTTTACTTTATAAGCAGATTTTATATATTTGAGTTAGGTCCATAATATATACTTTGTTAAGAATAATTTCATCATCTTGTAAATTCCTCAGCTCTCAACATATCTTTATAATGCATTAGTTTATACCAACACTCATTTGTATAAGTGGCAACGGGTTGTATTCCTTAATTAAGTTGTTTAAGTTCAAATCCTGACCCTTAAGTATAGAGTGGACTGTGTTGAAAAAGGAATAAAAAAAATGCATTAAGTTATTTTATAGGAGGATTTTATCTGTTTTGTTCTGTTTAGTGACACACAAGAACATGACAAATCCTTTAAGTTCTGTTTTCTCAATCATTGAACAGATTCTTTTCTAAACTTAGCAACACACTTTAGAGGGTAAAGTGAGTAAACTTAGTCATTTTATAGCACTTACTCATTTTGGTGGAGTCAAATCTGAATGGAATATATCTAAGTACAGCCTAGTTTTGTTATTTGGACCACATTAAAAAGTAACATCATTAGTACTG